GGAACTTCCACACTCCATACCTTTCGCCGTTAAAAGGAAGGATATTTCTTTTATTTTTATTCTCCATATTTATTCACACACGACACTGGGCCCATAACCTTTTATTATTTTAATTTAAAATTATCTAATAGGTTATGGTAAAAGAAAACACAACATTTAATATTTTTGATATTTGAACATAGAATTTATTTAATCAAATTTTATACAACCTTACAGTACGAAGTCAAAATATAAACTAAACTATATAACTTAACGAAGATTCGATGCTCAGGTAAGAAGAAATAGAGGTATTACAATAGTGCCATAAAAGGCTCATTAAGGCTAGACTGATTGTCGCCTCGAAGGCTAGACTGACAATCGTCATTATATTTCTTTTGAAAATATTTAATTCTTAATATTAAATTTTTAACAGAACATAAAGGTGTTCGTGTAAGAACATGTACAAGAACATGTTCCACATCTAGCGCAAGAAAATTTACATGAAACCTGCACAAAAAAATATGTACAAGAACATGTACATTTTCTTGTATAATATCTTGTTATAATATATTTAAATTTATTATTAAGAAAGTTCAATGGTCTCTAATATTCTTTGGCAAAGAGGGACCCTTATAATTATCGCCCTTTAAAAACGGCACTCTGAAGAACGTGAAAATGATAAACATTGATTTTAAAACACTTTTTTCTTGAAACACAAACACTTTTTATAAAATCGGCCAACGTACCAAGAATTCTTTTTTGAAACCACGCAAAAACGCGATTGCAAATTCTGCAAAATTGGAAATGGGAAAACCGCAGTAATATAATGACAGCTGCAACTTTGTACTCCCTGTATGCTTCTGCCATCTAACAGCAGCAGCTGTCAATCTTACTTTCCTATTTCTAATTTTCCGATCGTGTTTTTGTATGGATACGAAAAATCTTTCGGCTTTAGGAAATTTATAAGATAAAAATTCTTATTGTTAGTTATACGTTGACCAATTTTATAAAAAGTGTCTGTGTTTCGAGAGAAAAGTGTTTTAAAATGATCAATGTTTATCATTTTCAAGTTTAGTGCGCCGTTTTTATAGAGCGATAATTAAAGGTCCCTCTTTGCCAAAGAATTTCAGAGATCGTTCAACACTCTTAAGTTTTATTTTATTTGATCTTCTACTCATTTACTATAGTAGGTGTTTTCGGCAACTACTGCGATTTACTGCTATAGCAGTACTAAGTGGTGCTCATAAAAACAGCCAATTGTGTTAAGGCCAGGTCCAAGTGAGGCAGCGCCATCTACATTGATACTAACATTTTGGAAAATTTTCAACAGCCTTTTCTTGAAAACAAAATGGTAAAATGCTTTTTCCTTTATGGATAATTGATTATTGGCAAGATATACACCAGCTAAAACTTTTTTTGAGTTAAAATAATAAAAAAAATTTCTTGTCAATAAATTAAATATGAGCACTTTTTTCACAAAAACTGTAACAGTACTTTCTCAGAAATTACAATCAAAAATGCAATTTCCATTTGGAAAATTAATAAACGCTAAAAAATACACGACCTAAGATTTACCAATCACGAAAATAACAAAAAAAAATTTTATTAAATATTTAACATATTGATACTGCTTTACTGATTGTGACAGCCCTTTGGTAGATTATGTATTTCAGGTGGTTAGCAACAGCGCCAATCTCCTCCTTTCGGCAAATCTGCGAAACGTCTGGTGACATATATAACCTGCCAAACGGCTGTCATAATGAGTAAAATATGTTATGTTAAAATACTTTTTTTTTGTTATTTTCGTGATTAGTAAATCTTAGGTCGTGTATTTTTTAGCGTTTATTAATTTTCCAAATGGAAATTTCATTTTTGATTGTAATTTCTGAGAAAGTACTGTTACAGTTTTTGTGAAAAAAGTGCTCATATTCAATTTATTGACATGAAATTTTTTTGATTATTTTAACTGCCTCACTTGGTCCTGGCCTTAAACGACAAAAAAGTATATCATTTTTCAGCATTTGAGCTCCACTTAGTACTGCTAGCAGTAAATCGCAGTATTTGCCGAAAACACCCTATATAATGCAAAAATAATATAAGAGTAAACCTGTAAATAGTAAACAATGTGTTTCTAAGTCGAGTCGAGATTTGACTTTACTGCTGCCATGATTTTTTTCGATAAATTACATGCTTAAATTATGTCTCCGTAAATTTAAATAACCAATAATTTAATAATTGATAACATTATTATTGTCATTATTATTTTTATCTTAAATTTGAGAAATAATTTTAAATTCATTGGTCTTTGTAAAGACAAACAATATGAAAATATACAATTTTAAAATAAAGCAAAATTTTTAAAAATAAATGATTTTAATTTTACAAATTCACTTTATTTAGTTACTTAATTATGTAATTGTAATAGGGTCAATCCATTATATTTCGACTGAAGTCGTCGCTGACTAATTTTTAAAAATTATAATACTTTGCAGGAATGATTTTGAAGTTATCAAGATCACGAAATGAAAAGAATTTTATTAAAATTTTAATTATTTATTGCAAAATATGAATTTAAAGTATATGAGGTGCTAAAAACTGTCAATTTTTTAGCCATTAGAAAATATGCAAAAATACGTAGAATTTACCATAAAAATAAAATTTTTTTTTGTAATTTACTAAGAATGAATAAATTTATCATTATCAATTGATGTAATTATTTAAATATGTGAAATAATATATAAAATATGATTTTCAAGTTCGCCTGTCAAATAACCTAAATTTGAAAATTTCCTCTATTAAATGTGAGAAAGAGAAGTCATTAAATTGAAAAAAACCTTACCAAATATAAAGTACCTGTGACTAACTTTTAGTTTTTCTTAGAACTTTTTTCCTTTTTTCTTCATAAATGTGAAATAAAAAGCAATAAAAATTGACACTTTGCTTATTTTCACTATTTTCAAATGTAAATAACTTTCTTGGAGAAAACTGAAAAATTACAAAACTTGGGCAATATCTAATTGATCACTATTTACACACACTGGAAAAAAATTCGCTTTGGTCCCGAAGATACTTTTTGAGATAATTAAGTTTAAACTTTTCACAATTTTTATCAGGTTAATACATGTAGTTTTTTAAGGACGAAGTTAGATTTTATTGGTTAAACATTTTGAACTAACTTCAATTTTATAAAAATCACATGCATTAACCTGATAAAAATTGTGAAAAATTTAAACATAATTATCTCAAAAAGTATCTTCGGGACCAAAGCGAATTTTTTTCCAGTGTGTGTAAATAGTGATCAATTAGATATTGCCCAAGTTTTGTAATTTTTCAGTTTTCTCCAAGAAAGTTATTTACATTTGAAAATAGTGAAAATAAGCAAAGTGCCAATTTTTATTGCTTTTTATTTCACATTTATGAAGAAAAAAGGAAAAAAGTGCTAAGAAAAACTAAAAGTTAGTCACAGGTACTTTATATTTGGTAAGGTTTTTTTCAATTTAATGACTTCTCTTTCTCACATTTAATAAAGGAAATTTTCAAATTTAGGTTATTTGACAGGCGAACTTGAAAATCATATTTTATATATTATTTCACATATTTAAATAATTACATCAATTGATAATGATAAATTTATTCATTCTTAGTAAATTACAAAAAAAAATTTTTATTTTTATGGTAAATTCTACGTATTTTTGCATATTTTCTAATGGCTAAAAAATTGACAGTTTTCAGCACCTCATATACTTTAAATTCATATTTTGCAATAAATAATTAAAATTTTAATAAAATTCTTTTCATTTCGTGATCTTGATAACTTCAAAATCATTCCTGCAAAGTATTATAATTTTTAAAAATTAGTCAGCGACGACTTCATTCGAAATATAATGGATTGACCCAATAATAATAATAATAATAATAATTTATTTATATATAATATTAATCTAATTTTGTGGACTTCTTTTTAATTTATTGATATGCATACACATATATCATGTGAATTATAAATGGAAAAATTTATTATTTTGCATATTGAAAATTATTCTCAGTGCGTGGGAAAAGAAGCAGAAGATAATATAGATAACAATTGGTTTTCATTTCCTGGCAATTTATAGCTTCGAATCGAAGAAAGCTTTTTCTCTGAATATTTAATATGTTTATGAGAAACATACTTGAAGTCCTTTGCGTTTAATGTCAATCAACTACTTTCTACTTTGTAATTTGAGACAATATTCTTCTCATGAGCCTATATTAAAGATCTATTAAAAATAGCAATATATTATATTAATATATAATATAATTTAATTAAATTAACTAAGTTGTTAAAACTTGATGAACATTAATTTTTAAAATAAAATGTTAATTTAATTTGTTTTTTATTTAAAAAAAAATTTTTTTTTTATTAAATTACTAAAAATTACAAAAAAAAATTTAATTTTAATTAACAGTAATTAATAGAATTTTTTTTCTCAGATTCTTGATAATTAAAATTAATATAAATTAATTATGCCACTGAAAAATTGAAAAGAAAAAACTTTTCTACACTATTAAATAAAATGTCTTGTCCCGTTGATTGATTAAATAAAAAAAAATAATATGTTATTGAAAAAAAAATAAAATAATTTTTAAATAATTTAAATAGTATTTTGAATATATTTTTCATAACAGAATAGTGAATATTAATCATAAAAATTTTTTAAATTCAACTTCATTATTTTATTTCACAATTATTAAAATAGTTATATTTAATAATAACACTAATTTTTTTTTTACAATATTATGAATATTACACATTCAAAGTAAATTAATATAGTCGTAAAAAAATAACGTTGATGAAATTAAACTCGACAATATTTTATGTAATTAAACTACACATATATAAAACACTTAAATATAAAGAATTTATAATTCTAATTAATAAAAGTGCAAAAAAAAAAAAAAATGCAAAAAACTTATTTGCAATATTTTAAAAATCTATATGAAGAATTTTTAATTTCAATGAAATAAATAATAAGTCGAAAATAATAAATTATGATTTGTTTCTAATTTGCGATTCTATACATTAAAAAAATAATAATCACAAAAGTACAATATTTAAATCTTCAAACAGCGTTTTTTTTTGGCAGTAGATTTATTTTTTACTTATGTAATGATCATTGCTGAAGTTCACAAAGTTTATAATCAACGATTTTTAAAGAAATATATATATTTTTTTTTTTTGACAAATTCTACGAATTTTTGTCTTAAAAATATTTCTTGCAGTGTTTATTTATCAATAAATTATGAGAAACATTTTTACAGCTAAAACATGTTATAAATTTCCATGTTACAAAAAATTTGTTTTTTAATCATTTATCATAAACTTTGTGGACTTAATTATCGTTTATATGATCATTGCATGTCATTAAATTAATGGTTCAGTTTGTTTTCGTTCTTCTTTTTTTGTGATCCAGAAAAGATTTCCTTCCTGTGAAAAATAATTATAAATTAAATTGTATGTATTTTTTTTATATATAAATTTTGTATTAATTTTTATTTTATATAAACATTTTTTTTTAAAATTGAATTAATTAAATTTACATGTTGAAGATTTACCTGAAAATAATCTTCAATTTCCTGAAGAGTACGATCTTTAGTCTCGGGCAAAATGAAATAGGTAAAGACAACATTCATAAATGCAAAATTGGCAAAGATTAAAAATATACCAGGCATACCAATTGATTCTGTCATCTGGAAATTTATCGAATTAAATATTATAATCATAATAAAAATATTTGATAATGCATCGAATTTTCAAATAATATAATTTTTAATAAGAATTTTTTAGAACAATTTTTTTCTTCATCACAGTTTTTTTTTTTTAATTTATATTTTATATTATCAAATATACGACGTTTTGGTAGCTGACGTTATATCCTTATCAAGTTTACATAAATAGTACACTAAAAAATTATAATTTATTTCATTTTATAAAAAATTTATAAATATTTATAAATTTATTTATTTTATATTAAGTTAATTTATTTATAAAAATAAATAAACTGTGTTAAAAAAAATGGCGTAAAAAATTCTTATTATTTATATAATAATTATTACCACATACAATTTCTATTTAAGGCCAGGTCCAAGTGAGGCAGCGCCATCTACATTGATACTAAAATTTTGGAAAATTTTCAACATCCTTTTCTTGAAAACAAGATGGTAAAATGCTTTTTCCTTTATGGATAATTGATTATTGGCAAGATATACACCAGCTAAAACTTTTTTTGAGTTAAAATAATAAAAAAAATTTCATGTCAATAAATTAAATATGAGCACTTTTTTCACAAAAACTGTAACAGTACTTTCTCAGAAATTACAATCAAAAATGCAATAATTTCCATTTGGAAAATTAATAAACGATAAAAAATACACGACCTAAGATTTACCAATCACGAAAATAACAAAAAAAAATTTTATTAAATATTTAACATATTGATACTGCTTTACTGATTGTGACAGCCTTTTAGTAGATTATGTATTTCAGGTGGTTAGCAACAGCGCCAATCTCCTCCTTTCGGCAAATCTGCGAAACGTCTGATGACATATATAACCTGCCAAACGGCTGTCACAATGAGTAAAATATGTTATGTTAAAATACTTTTTTTTTGTTATTTTCGTGATTGGTAAATCTTAGGTCGTGTATTTTTTAGCGTTTATTAATTTTCCAAATGGAAATTGTATTTTTGATTGTAATTTCTGAGAATGTACTGTTACAGTTTTTGTGAAAAAAGTGCTCATATTTAATTTATTGACATGAAATTTTTTTTATTATTTTAACTCAAAAAAAGTTTTAGCTGGTGTATATCTTGCCAATAATCAATTATCCATAAAGGAAAAAGCATTTTACCATCTTGTTTTCAAGAAAAGGCTGTTGAAAATTTTCCAAAATTTTAGTATCAATGTAGATGGCGCTGCCTCACTTGGACCTGGCCTTAACAGAATTTATGACTAGCAAAATTTTCATAAAAAGAATTTTTATTCATCAGAATTGTTCTTTTATCGAATTTCTATTTATTCAAATATTCACTTAACAATGTTTCATTAACAATTAATTATTATTATTAAATAAAATTTTTCTAGACACAAATTCTGTTAAATGGAAATTGTATTATTTAAAAATTTGATATATTAAAAAATCTGCTACTTATACAAAAGTTCAGTTAAAAAGAAATTTTAATAAATCACATTTTCGTTAAATATAAATTCTTCGATATGAAAATTTATTTATTTATTAAACGAGTTAACAAAACCCTTACGTACAAAGTACAAAGCACTCAAACTTACTAATTAAAAAAACAAAATTTGAATACAATAAAAATGAATCAAAAGAAAAATTAGGCTGAGTTATTGTTATCATCAGTAATATTAACAAATGAAAAAGTGCTTAATTCTGACTTAAACTTAGAAAGTGAGTTAGAAAAAAAGTCAACACTGTCAGACACAAGATTCAGCTGATTATAAAATCCACTTTATAAAATTCTGCTAAATAAAAATTTGATAATTTTTAATCCGACACTACAAAAATTCCAAATTTGATTCAAATAATCCACTACTTGACTAATAAAAGTATCACAAGGGGTAGGGGGGGGGTGTTAAAATTTCGAAAAAATGTATCACATGCTTTATGGATAACCCCCAAGTAACCAATTATTTGAATCAAATAAATTTTTTTCAGTGTATTAAGAAGGTTATAGGGATTGACTGAACTAATCAAAACAGAAACCATTATTTTATGATTTGACTTTCTTGGTACTGTGAAACGTCTACTGGCAACACCACATTACGTCAGTCGAGTTGCAAATGGTTGCTATATGACTTGTTTACTTTAATAAAACAATTATCCCACTATTTAATTAACTTTAATTTAATTTTAAAAAATGTATAATCAATTTTATTTATTAACTTTTATTTTCTTTTTAAATATAACGTATTTTATGCGTGCTATCAGAATCAAAATTTTAAAATTTAGCGCGCAAAATTAACGTATAATATGCATGATCAAGGGTGCAACGTTGCCAGACGTTCTGACAGCTGTTCAATTTTTATAAATTAATTTATTGCAGCTCCCACAAGAATCTAATAACACTTTTTTAAACAGATATTTAATCATTAAATATCTGTTTTGTATTAAAAACAGTTTCATTAATTTCCTAATGTTAATTATTTTGTGGTGAATAAATATATATGAAAAGTACTTAATTCCCATGAGACACAATGTTAATTGTTAAAAAACAAAAACGCTTATAACTTTTTTCACAAGAACCTAGAGGTCTGAAAAATTTAGCTACATAATTTTCAAACATTTATCTAATAGCGGACTAAGTTTCATTAAATTACTAATATGTTAATTCTATTTCCGCTATAACCTCCTTAACATGCTTCGTTAAGAATATTTTTTTGAGAAATATTTAACAAAAAAGATTTTTAAAACATTATTTTATTTCTAAAGCAGCTGACAGAGAAAATGACCAAAAAAAATTTATAAAGTTATATAGAATTATATAAATGAAAATCTCACCTGAGGAAAGTATTTTGTAACGCCAAAAAGTGTTAGGTGAAACAATGAAAAAATGAAACCACCTGCTAAACCTCTAGCTCTTTGAGGAAGCAATTCACCCACCATAATTCCTGGTAAGCTCAAAAATCCAATGGTATTTGCAGCCACATAGATCAAAAGACATGAACCAAGGACGTAAATCTGTTAAAATAAAAATTCACACCTCGAACAATGTAATTTAATAAAAAAAAAAAAGAAAATAGTAATATATTATTAAAATTTTCAGATTTGATTTTAGGAATTTAAAAAAATTCGTACATCATAAGAGGAGACTCCTTTTTGAAGTAATAAGTAACTCGCCAAAATTAAGGCCGATGATCCTGTTCCAATACCAGAGAGAAGAGCCAATGTTCTTCTGCCCATTTTCAACAATAGGAAGCAAGCACAAATAGAAAATATTAATCTCATAACAGCCAATAAAGCTGCCCATAAATAATTATCCAAACTATTTACGCCTGCAAAACAAGTGTGTGAGTATAATTTGAAAAAAAAAATTAGAATATATATAAAATTATTTTAAAAAATAATCATTATTTTCAGAGTGATCGTAAATTAAGATTTCGTTTTTCGCAAAAAATAAAATTGAATATTAACAATCAAATGATATTTAAATTATGGTGAGAATTTATTTTAATTTTAGAGAAATTTTTGAAAATTTTACAACTGTGTTATTATTTTGTAAAATAATTTTTAAAACTATACCTATATGTTTCATGAGGTCAACTCCATAAAAAATAATGACATAAGTCCCACTGAGGAGTTGAAGAACATTAAAGACATTAATTATAATCAGTGGTTTAATGACGCCTGGATTGAAGATTGTTGAAAATACTGATAAAGCTTTTTCTCTTAAAGAAGGATTAATTGACTTCCTGACAAGATCAGCATTTGCTCTTGCCTCTAAAATGGAAGCTTCAATTATTACCTGCAAAATATTATAGTAATTAAATTTCAATTTAATTTCTTTAATGTTTATTAGAAAATTTTTTTAAGAGCGAAAGAGAACGCATGATTATCTCATAAAAATCATTAAGGGTATGTGGGCAAAGGACGTTTTTTTGTGGTTTGAAACTTTCTCTGAAATAAAAAATGATTTCGGGTTAAAATTTTGGAGAAAAGATTGTGTTTGGTACAAGGAATCTCACTGTTCTACTAATTTACCATAACTTAACGCCAAAATAATAAAAATAAATCAATAAATAGTAAAATAATGTCCCACACAGCACAACATCTTACACCAGGCCTACAGCAGGGTTACATGTAAGGTTTGTAAGGTAACATCGTAAGCCCATAGTAGACTTACAGTAAACCAAAAATGTCCGCCTTACAGTAAGCTTACATGGTAGGGTCGAGGTAAGCTTACATGGTAGGGTCGAGGTAAGCTTACACGGTAAGGTCGAGGTAAGCTTACACGGTAAGGTCGAGGTAAGCTTACATGGTTGGGTCGAGGTAAGCTTACACGGTAAGGTCGAGGTAAGCTTACACGGTAAGGTCGAGGTAAGCTTACATGGTAGGGTCGAGGTAAGCTTACACGGTAAGGTCGAGGTAAGCTTACATGGTAGGGTCGAGGTAAGCTTACATGGTTGGGTCGAGGTAAGCTTACACGGTAAGGTCGAGGTAAGCTTACACGGTAAGGTCGAGGTAAGCTTACACGGTAAGGTCGAGGTAAGCTTACATGGTTGGGTCGAGGTAAGCTTACACGGTAAGGTCGAGGTAAGCTTACACGGTAAGGTCGAGGTAAGCTTACATGGTAGGGTCGAGGTAAGCTTACACGGTAAGGTCGAGGTAAGCTTACACGGTAAGGTCGAGGTAAGCTTACATGGTTGGGTCGAGGTAAGCTTACACGGTAAGGTCGAGGTAAGCTTACACGGTAAGGTCGAGGTAAGCTTACATGGTAGGGTCGAGGTAAGCTTACACGGTAAGGTCGAGGTAAGCTTACATGGTAGGGTCGAGGTAAGCTTACACGGTAAGGTCGAGGTAAGCTTACATGGTAGGGTCGAGGTAAGCTTACATGGTAGGGTCGAGGTAAGCTTACACGGTAAGGTCGAGGTAAGCTTACACGGTAAGGTCGAGGTAAGCTTACATGGTTGGGTCGAGGTAAGCTTACACGGTAAGGTCGAGGTAAGCTTACACGGTAAGGTCGAGGTAAGCTTACATGGTAGGGTCGAGGTAAGCTTACACGGTAAGGTCGAGGTAAGCTTACACGGTAAGGTCGAGGTAAGCTTACATGGTTGGGTCGAGGTAAGCTTACACGGTAAGGTCGAGGTAAGCTTACACGGTAAGGTCGAGGTAAGCTTACATGGTAGGGTCGAGGTAAGCTTACACGGTAAGGTCGAGGTAAGCTTACATGGTAGGGTCGAGGTAAGCTTACATGGTAGGGTCGAGGTAAGCTTACACGGTAAGGTCGAGGTAAGCTTATGAGTAAAGGCTGTGGTAAGGTTATTATTAAGTTGTAAGGTTGAGGTAAGGTTGTGGTAAGCTTACAAGGTAAGGCAAGTTATATTCAAATAATAATATTAATAATAAATAAATATTCAATAAAAAAATTTTTCTTTTGCCTTATTCTATTTTGGGAACCTATCATTTCGCAGAAAGTTTTGAAAACAAATTTGGGAGGAGTAGGATTCGAACCCGGGACCGAAGTATATACCTAACAACCTAACCAACTGAGCTAAACGGGGAACTGACAATGAGAAAAGTAATCTTGCTTTTAAGGAGTTGATTATCTTCTTGGTTCCACTTTAAAAGTAAGATTACTTTTCTCATTGTCAGTTCCCCGTTTAGCTCAGTTGGTTAGGTTGTTAGGTATATACTTCGGTCCCGGGTTCGAATCCTACTCCTCCCAAATTTGTTTTCAAAACTTTCTGCGAAATGATAGGTTCCCAAAATAGAATAAGGCAAAAGAAAAATTTTTTTATTGAATATTTATTTATTATTAATATTATTATTTGAATATAACTTGCCTTACCTTGTAAGCTTACCACAACCTTACCTCAACCTTACAACTTAATAATAACCTTACCACAGCCTTTACTCATAAGCTTACCTCGACCTTACCGTGTAAGCTTACCTCGACCCTACCATGTAAGCTTACCTCGACCCTACCATGTAAGCTTACCTCGACCCTACCATGTAAGCTTACCTCGACCTTACCGTGTAAGCTTACCTCGACCTCACCGTGTAAGCTTACCTCGACCCTACCATGTAAGCTTACCTCGACCCTACCATGTAAGCTTACCTCGACCCTACCATGTAAGCTTACTGTAAGGCGGACATTTTAGGTTTACTGTAAGTCTACTATGGGCTTACGATGTTACCTTACAAACCTTACATGTAAGCCTGCTGTAGGCCTGGTGTAAGATGTTGTGCTGTGTGGGGTATTTTATCATAGTTCATTCAGCGGCCACTCGCTCGAATTGGCGCTGTTTACTGGAACACTGACAAACTCAAGCAACATCTATGTATGCGCCGCCATGTTTTTTGTCATTTTCGTTTAAAAATGCCGTCTTTTTAAACATCATTTTTTAATAATTTAACTCAAAATTATGTATTTTTCGGAGATCAGCGAGATTCCTTGTACCCTAATGTATCATCCCTCAAAATTTTAGACAAAAATCTTTTCTCATTTTAGAGTGAAATGTATACTACCAAAACACATTTTCCCATACTAGGTCACGTGGGAGGTTCCCACATACCCTTAAATAGAATTTTTATTTTAAAGTATTTTATTAGAAATAATTATTTTTTAGACAAATTTTCATTTTACGAATTAACATTTTACTTTTTATACGAATTTTTACTTTACAAAATACAAAATTTTTAGCTATCGAATTTTTATTCGACAGAATTTTTATTTTTCAGTTATTTTCTTTACATGCGCCTTTTTATATAAAAGAATTTTAATTTAAGCGAATTTTAATTGATAGAATTTTTAAGACGCCGAATTTTCATTTGTCCCAAATTACAAATTAGTTAGTTTAGAAAATTGCGCCTAAATCTTTCTGTCGATTGTTCGGCCATTTTTAATTTCGGACAAATTAAAATTTGGCGTCTTAAAAATTCTATCAATTAAAATTTAGGTGAATTGAAATTTCAGTCATTTAAAAATTCAGATAAATTAAAATTCGCTAAAATTGAAATTTCTGTCTTTTAAAAATTCGAATCACATAAAATTTGATTGTATGAAAATTCTGTTAAATTAAAATTCTTTTAAATAAAAAGTCATCTCAAGGAAATGACTGTAAAATAAAAATTCTGCTAAACAAAACTTAAGTTATAAAATTTTGTTAAGTAAAAATTCGTATAAAAAGAAATTCTGTAAAATACTAATTCAAAGAATGAAAATTCGTCTGAAAATAATTTATCAATATATATAAAATACCTGAGCCTTATCACCGCCTCTGAGCCATAGAAGTGCCTTTTTTGCAGCTTCTACTCGATTTTGCCTGATTAGCCAGGCAGGACTTTCATGAACCATACAAAGAGTCATAAATCCCAATATTGATGGAATTGTTCCATAAATGGCTACAAAATCCCATCTTAAAATTGCACCTAAAGCATAAACGAAAAGAATTCCTGCAGAATATGCTGCTATTGTGCCACCCACTAACATTCCTCGAAGTCCTGGATCTGCCATTTCTCCTAATATTACCTAAAAACAAAAAAAAATTCAATTAAAAAAATTACAATTCGAATTTTTTTTTGTTAAATTAATTCTAAAAAGAAACTTATGAATAATATAAATTATAATCCTAACTAAAAGCAAATAATAAAAATTATAATAATTATTTTAATTATTTATTATTAATAATATAGTTTATATTTTCTAATTAACATACTTAAGAAAAAAATTTTAGGTTATGTTTTGAAATTTTTATGTGAAAATTCTCAAAGCAGATCAACTACTACTTTCAATCATTAATATTAAAGTGTATTTGTTACATTGAAAATATTCAATACAAACTTATTTCGATTTTCATATATAAATAAAAAGAACTTTTAATCAAGGTAAAACTGTCGTAAACATAACCTATAATTCGTTTGCATCTGAGATACACTCGTGGCCAGATATGCCTACACTTTTTGTCTTTTTCTAACGCACTTGTTGCCATGACAACACGCGAATGACAAAAATAAAAATTAGTTGGGTTTGCTTGGAACTTGTTACTCGGGGGGTTATTGAGGTGACTGATTACGAATTTGCCATCAGTTTTCAAAAATTCAAAATGGCGGATCCAATATAACGAAAAAAAACTTTTTAAATTGATCGGATTTGCTTAAAACTCGTTCAAAAATCTGATGTCAAATTCGTAATCAACGACCTGAAAAATCCCCCGAGTAACAAGTTTTAAGCAAATTCAAGTAATTTTTAATTTTGTGATCCACCATTTTGTTTTTTTAAAACCTAATTCGTTATCAGCGACTTCAAAAACCCCAAAGTAACGTGTTTCAAGAAAATCCGATCAATTTTAAAAAATTTTGTCTGCCATATTGGATCCGCCATTTTAAATTTTGAAAATCTAATGCCAGATTAGTAATCAGCGACCCCATAAACCCCCTAGTAAAGAGTTTCAAACTAATTTGATTAATTTTTATTCACCTATTTTCTACTTAAATTTTTTACGATTTTTTTTTAATCCATTTGTGTCCATTTTTAAAGCGTATTTGTAAGAAGATTAATGAAGCTGGAGATGCGCGGTTTGTTGCATTGAAAAGAGCACATATTTTTCTATAAGAACCCAAGCAAAAATTTCTGTCTAATGCCGATATTGACAACAGGCGCAATCATGCACCAATACTGAAATTTTATTTCTTTATATTTTCCTCAATATTTTACTTTTTAGAAAACTTAACTTAAAATAAATTTTATAAATATAAAGAAACTGTTAAATAATTAAATTTTAAACGCAAATTTTCTTTAAACACTAAATCTGAATAATAAAATTTGTGATAATATTACCTAATAAATATCATGTTACATACTTAAATAGTAATTTAAATATTGTTCATTGTATTTAAGTAAAGGGTATGTTTTCAAAAAATGTACCGTTACTCTAACCATTTTTTTTTTTTTGCAGGATTTTTTTCATGAAAAATTTTAATTATTTAGAAAATCATGTAAAAGGAATATTTCGGGAGAAAAATACCGAATTTTTTTTTAATTAATTATAATTTTACAGCTACCTGAGAGGGAACTGCGGTTAATCCAACAGCAAATCCGGATAGAATTCTCCCTAAGAAGAAATGATGGACATATTTAGCGAAAGCCATAATTATCCATCCAGAACAAAGGGGAATTGCTGCCAGCTGAAGTGATCCTCTTCTTCCAATAAAATCCATTAAGGGCCCAGAAACTAATGCTCCAATTGGTGTAGCTAAACTATGCACTGAAGCTGAAAATTTTTTTTTTTCAAATTTACAATATTGTTGAAGTATTTTGACAGGTAATTTCTCAATAATATTTTTATTCTATCCTCTTCTTTCTTTTTTTTTTTTTTTACTTTATTGAATATACAAAACATTTTATTAAAATCGTAAATTTGCAATATTCTTAAATATAATATTTTGTGATTGTGAAATAACTTGGTGCATTATAATAATTATTATCACTTCTAGTTAAAAGTTCATTGCATTCTCTCAAGGAAGGCTCGAACAGAATTTTCCACATCTTATCAGTGATCAATTAGAATGGAAGAATTTCATAAAATAAACATTTATTCAATGAAAAACAATTATTTTACATTGTTATAATTTTAATGTATTTATTAAAATTATAATCAAAGTTGGTTTTTGTCATATAACACGGTTGATATGTGAAATTTTTCGCTGATTTTGACTGTTCAAAAAAAAAATTAGTCATTTATATATTCCAAAGTTGAGTTTTGTTTAGTGGATGCAAACAAAAAAAAATTAAATAATAGATGACCGAACGAGTCCTTGACACAGATTACAAAATATTTATCCACAAGTCCGCATCACGTCCTTAAAAATAAATTTATAAGGCGTATTCGTTTGATGGACGCATAAAAATAAATAGGCTTAATTCGACAGAATATAAGCGTGATCCACGGAAGTGTTTAATGGCGAATTATCTGCGGAAACTTTAGCTTTAGTGGGTCAGGGTCCAATTTTGTCAAGGTGAGGATTGAGTTAATATAGGACCTTCCTAATGCATTTTAAATTATATCATATACTTTTACGCCAACTTATTTACATCTTCACTAAAATATATTACTTAATACCAGTTATCTCACATGAGCCGCTATTAAAAAAAGAAGAAGTCAAAAAAGAAATTCATTCCTATACATAGAGCTTGAAATAATTTCACTATCTTCTTTTATGCTTTACAAGAAATTTAAATCGAAAATTTTTTCTATTGACATTAAAATAATTTTTAATCAATGAGGTATTAAAACGAATTATATAGATTAAAATACCACAAAAGAGTAAAATAATCCAGTTTTAGGACTAAATTTTTTTTTCAATATTATAAAACACGTTTTTAGGTTTATTTTTTTGAAAGTTTGTAATTTAAATTTTTGGATGGATTATTTTATATCCATTTTGATAATAAAATAATACACCACAATTTACTGTGTTAGTATTGTGAAAAATAAAGTGTCAAAAGTATAAAATTAAAAAATCTATAAAAAAGAAATGCACTGAGAAATTTTTTCTGTTTAATTATTTTAAGGGGAGGTACAAGTCATGAAAATTTGGAAAAAAAATTAATATCAATTTTTATAATAGAACAAGAGTGTTTAACGGTCAGGGATGTCAGGAAATGTCAGAGAATTTCATTCAAAGTCAAGGAAATTTCTATAAATTTATACAAAAATTAAAATTTTTTGTGAATTAAAAATTTTTTTTAATCTATTTAAATAGTTTTCATCACGATTTTTTACTATCATTAGATATTAATTTATTGTTAAATATGTTAGTAACCATATTTTTGTCCCAAAAAGGCAGAAATAAAGTTATAGTAAAAAGTCAAAAAATGTAAAAAATTAAAATTTTTCAAAACCTAAAATTAAAACAAAAATTTAATATAAAACAGACAAAAATTATTTTTCTTCAATTTTCCGTAATGGAATATGATTTTTTGGTTAATTGAAATTTCATTGGTATAATTGTTTTAAAATTGAACTTCTTCCATTATTTTTAAAATTTTTTCATCGCCAATTTTGTTATACACTTTTATATTATGATTTTGACTAATCAATCTTATGAAATTTAAAGTTATTTATTTTTTAAAAATTGAAATTTTTAAAATGGTCAAAAATATATATTTTTTTATTTTTATAACATAAAACATTTTTAGATCTTAAATAATGTGAAAAAACATTTTTGCCTATAACTACAACGAAAAGTTAAATAGGTTAAAATTTCCAGTGGTCCCTCTCCTTATAATTTTTTGTTAAATGGTCCCCAGGATATCTTGGAATATCCATAGGATATCCAAACCGCCGGTCTGTGGGACATCAACAGGACATCCATAGGATATCCACAGGATATCCCTAAGACATCCACAAAATATCTATTGGATATTATATCGCAGGATATCCATGGGATATCCTCAGGATGTCTGGGATATTCTTAGGATATTCACGGGATATTTAATATCTCAACATATATTTTTAAAGGTTAAAATTGTTAAGCTAATATAATGAATAATAATATAATAAAAACAAAAATCTTATGAGCTTCTAATTTATTTTAAATGAAGATTTGAAACGCATTTTTCAAAGTTTTTAAATAAACTCATGCACTTAATGTATAATTAATATTAATAGTTATTCGTTATTTGCGGGGAAGAATTTATATTGTTTAAAGCCAATTTATTTTCTGACAATATTAAGCATATGAATCAAGGAATGAATCACGAATGAGAAAAAAATTAGTTAATAATTTTTCAAATTAAACAACTTTCTCGAAAAACAAGTTGCATTTTATTTTATTTATATAAAATTTAATTCACAGAATATTCTCACTCGTAGTCTCATAATGACTTTAAAAACATTATCCTGAGAATATCTTCTTGACATTCAGAAGATATACTGAGAATATCGTGAAAATATCTGTGGGATATCCTGACGATATCTATGGGATATCCTGATGATATCTATGGGATATCCTGATGATATCTGTGGGATATCCTGACGATATCTATGGGATATCTGGAGGACATTTATGAAAGTATATAGAGATATCCAGAAGATATCCTGTGGATATCCTCAGATATCTATGGGATATCCAAAGGATATCCAAACCGCCGATTTTTTGGATATCCTTAAGAGATCCTTTTGATATCCATAGGACATCCCTAGGATATCTGCGGGATATTATCAATATATCCCAAGATATCTTGTGTTATTAGGGTATAGAAAAATTTTTTTTCTTCTAAATTGTTGAAATAGAGATTTTTTAAGATAAAATAATATTCTAATGCAAATCGGTTATTATAATAAATATTGAAAGTTCAATTATTAATAATAATAATAATATGTAAATTTCAGTTTGCACCGATTATTTGTCAATTTTTTTAATAATGTATAAAAATAATAATAATTTCTGACAGGTCTATAACATATGACTTTGAGACAGATAAAATTATTCAATCAAATCAAATGTAGGTCAGTGCTATATGTCGCAGTTATGAACTATTCTCGTAATAATTTCATCTCGCGAGGGTCAAAATACTCCTTTCCCACCTTGAACCTGTATCTTGATCCATGATCTTTAAACGTATCAATGTTATAAAGGGTTTACATTCAACATCAAGATCACAATTTAACCGCGTTCATTATAAATATTACAAAAGAAAAATTAAATAAAAATTTGTTCTATAAAAGTATCGAGAAAAAGTAATTTCTATAACATTTTTTTCTTTATTAATTAATTATTATTCCAACATATCAATAACTTTGTCACATTTAATTTGGCTAAATTAATTACTTTTAAATTATTTTTTTCTAATTTTTTTTTCACCAACACGTTTATGACTTGTGAAATTAAAAAAAAAAAATTTTTTTGAATGCTATAATAAATTTGTAAAATTGCATGAGTTTTGAAAATTTCTTTTTGGATTGTATGTTTTTACGTGAACTTTTCGAAAAGGTGCAAAAAAATGACTGAAAAATAATTTGCTAGATTTTTTGCAATTTAATGATTAAATTTTTAATGTACCTACAGTTAAATGTTACTGAAAACTAGTTTCAATCGTTGTATTATTATTTTAGTTTCTTTTTTACTTTTTTTTGTTATTCTTATCTTACACTGAAAGACTTTTTGTTTCAAAAATTGATATAATTTGTTTCAAAATGAGGATAACTGTATTTTTGTACTATTTAGTCGTGTGAACGTACTAGTTTCTGACTAGAAAAAACTAAAAATTAGTATGGACCATACTAATTTTTGATATTATTTGGTTAGAAACTAGTACTTTCATACGACTAAATAGTACAAAAATACAGTTATCCTCATTTTGAAACAAATTATATTAATTTTTGAAACAAATTATATTAATTTTTGAAACAAAAAGTCTTTCAGTGTATCTCTAAAATTGTTTGTAACCTTCGTTTTCTTTTTCCAATAAATTAACAAAAAAAAAAAAACTACGTAATTTAAAAATTTTCAGCCTAAACACGTTGTTGGTAAAGGATTTTTTCAATTTTTTCAAAATGTTGTATTTTATTCTAAATTCCAATTTTTACATTTATATTTTCGATACACTTTTTGAAAATGTTGCATATTTTACCCCAAAAAAAAAAAACGCAGAAAATCATTATGATTTTTGAGACTTTTTTTATGGTTTTCACAATAAAAATTAAATTTGAAGCTATTTTTACTATGATTTTCATAATCAGCGCATCAAAATACATCAATAATATACGTAGCATCATAAAAATCGGAGGTATTTTTTAAAAAATTCAAAATTTCAATGTACCTAATTTTGTTGAAAAATTTTCAAAAAAAAAAAAAAATTGAAAGATACCAACAGTTTTAAAAATAAAATGTTAATATGAAAATTGCAAAAAATCTAGTTAATAATTTCTCTATCATTTTTTTTTCATCTTTTCGAAAAATTCACATAATTAAAATGAATAAAAAAATTTAATGTTCCTATTTTTTCGAATGTTCTGAATATTCAAATGAACGAAATCATTTTTTCGGTCTATACCAAATGAAAAATAAAAAAACTACATTAAACATTTTAATAAATTATTAATTTATTTTTAGTTACAGAAAAAAAAATTTTGTAATAAAATTTGAAATTAAAAAAGTTGTAAAAAAATTTTTTTTTTTTCTTTTGAACGTTCAGAACTTCAGGCACATAAAAATTTAACCAAATCAGAAGCCAAATATTTATTTCATATATGTGACCTGGACAGTTAAAAGGGACCTTTTGTCCGAAAAAATCGATTTTTTATTGATTGGTGGTTCTGATAGAGAAAACTTTTTTCTATCAGAATCACCAATCAATAAAAAATTAATTTTTTCGGACAAAAGGTCCCTTTTAACTGTCCAGGTCATATATATATAATATAATAAAACGGAAAAAATATTTTTCAGTTAGCAATATTTTTTTAAATTAATTTTCAACTTTAAATAAAAAATGAAATAAATAAATATTTTTTATTGAATTTCTTTTTCTTTAATATTTATAAAAACAAATAAAATTTGTTGATTGAAAATTTTTTTTTTTTTAAATAAAAATAATTAAACAATATTTATGAAAAAAAAAAATTGTAATTTGCTGACTAAAACTCGCAATTAACAAAATATAAGAAAAATTGAAAAAATTTTGTACTTACCTATCCATGATCCTGTTTCAGTGTCAATATGAAGAGTTCCATTACTTTCTAATAATTGGGGTAAAAGAATTGCACTATAACCAATTGGCATGCCACAACCTGCCATTAAAATAAATACTGCACCTGTCACCAAGCACTGAAAAAAATTAAATTATTTACAATAATAATCAAGTATATTGTAATTCTATTTGTTTTGTTCTTTTTCGAAAATATAAATTTACCTGTGCCATAACACCCTTTGAATTTGAAGAATATCGTCTAACAATAGTGGAATAGTCATAATTATTATTGTTCTCTATTGAACTTTTTAAATCTTTCGATTTAATTTGTAAAGTAGGATAACTAGTTCTATAATTCAAAACTGATTGATTTTCGTCACTGGAAACAAAAAGAAATTTCCCTTTAATTACAAAAAATAATGTATAAAATTGTAAAATATATACATATATATAATAATAAAAATTAACGAAATTAATTTTTAGAAGAAATAAATTCAACTTTGAATATGAAAATTAATCATTATATTTTATTTCAATAAAATTTTAATAAAATAATATCTATTCCAAGGACAAAAAAATTAATAATTCAATGAAATTCATTGATAAAAATTATTAAAATTTAAATAAAATAATAAATAAAAATAAAATTAAATAAATATTTTTTTTCATTGCTCTATTTTTATAATTTAAAATCACGAACTTTAACAAAAGAGAAGTTTTATCACTGTTATCCATTTTTGAAAATTTCACTGTATCACACTTTTATCGTGTTACTTTCGCATTCTTCAAAGTAACACTGAATTCAAATTGCTTTTCAGCTTTACTATATTTATCATAATAAGACAAATTAAGAATTACAAGTTTATCATGAATTAATTACATTCATTATTATGTACAAATATTCCAAGCTAAAGATTATATATTATCAAAGTAGAATTTATTACACTCTGTCAACAATGACAATCTCAATGTCAACAAATATGTCAAAGTTGAAATTATTACAATATTGTATATAATTGATGTTAAACAATATTTTTTTTTCAATTTTTTCTAGAATTTAAAGATTTTTTAATTTTTTTTTTTACCAAAAATTGACACTAACAGTGAGAAAAAATTTTAAATAATTTTTGATCCATTATTTGTCTAAGTAGAATTTTTTACTTATTAAAATGAAAAATGAATAAATTTACTTTTTTTTGTTAATAGAAAATAGGGGGAAAAAAGAATTATTTCATTTAAAAATCTTCCCTATTTTCAGTATTATTTTTTATCATTCCTCACAAGACAATTGACCATAATTGCTCATTACCGATTACAAAAACAATTATAGAAATTTACCTAATGCCAACAGCCATTTTTAATTCTTTGTTAATTTTTTGTTGCGCACCCAATATTTTTTTTTTTTTTCCTTAAAAATTTTTTAACACTAATATTTTCACTTTTTTTTCATTCAAATACGTTTTTGAAAAATTTTTCATGATCCATTTGTAGAAAAAAAAAGTATTTAAATATTCAACTGTTTTTCTACACGTTGGTGTAAAACTGGTAAACTAATGACAGGCGCTTCTAAATACGTTGATTATTTCAAAGGAATTAATTATTTATTTATTCAATTATTTTTTCGATTATACTTATTTTAAAAATAAATATAGATGCATGATTACTTATTTTTTTTTTATCTATTTTATTTTAAAGCCACAATTTATTGAAAATTTATTTAGTCAATAATTTAAAAAAAAAATTTCTGAATTTTTTATTTTATTGGATATACACTTTTTTTTAAAAAAAAATATATATTGATTTATAAAAAATTTCTATTAAATTTTATTTTTTGTTTCGTTTTTCTCAGACTTGTTAATAATTTTTTTTTATATATTGTTTATTAAAAAATTAAAAAAAAAAAAATAGTTACAATATAAAATTATATTAGTCAAAGGACTTTTTGAAGTTTCCTTCCATCACCTCGAGATGAAGGGAATCAACTGAATGAAATACAGCCTCCGCTTTTATTAAGTAGCTGACATTGAGTAGATTCGGCAATTTTGTCGTATGCTAATATAATCTCTCTCACATAATTTTTATTTGTACAATTTTTTTTTTCTTAAGGAGTATGACTACTTCTTGAGTTCATATAATTTTATCTCAATCAAGAAACATAAATAAATCAATTAATTATTCGTTTTATATAATTTTTTAATTATCATTTATAAATAATAAATTATTTAAATATAAAAAAAAAAATTTTTTTATATAAAAATAAAATAATAATAATAATAAATAATAATAATTAACAATAATAATAATAAATAATAATAATAATAAATAAAATAATATAAAATAAATAAATGAAGGTTTTGATTTTTAGTTTTCTGTAAGTATTTATTTTTATAAATAAAAATTTACGAATGTATGTACTTACCTGAAAAAAGAATTTCAAAGCTTTTAAATATTTTATTTACGAAATAATTTTTTTTTTTTTTTTATTAACATGTACGAAATAATAATTTCAAGTTGAAAATTCTATTAATATTTATTATTAATAATAATATTATTAATAATATTAATTCATTAATATTTTATTTATTTTATTTCAATTGACTTATTATTTAATTTTTATTAAAAGACAATATTTATTTTTTATGTTATTTATATAACGACTTATTTGGAAATTTATTTTTTTACTTAATATTCTCTTTTTTTATCCCATTCAATTATTATTTTTATTATTTTCTTTATTTATATTTATTTTTCTATTTTTACTATTTTTTTTTTATGTAAATAACTGGAAAAATATCAATTTTTAATAGAATTATTAATAAATGTTTGGAAAAGTTTTTTAAATTTACGCGCTCAATTTCTACCAATGGGAATCTTGATAAATTGGTTCACAATATTATTTTTTTAAAAAATTGAAATAAAATTAATATTTCTCGTAGTTTTGTAAATTTTTTTAATTGTCAGCGCCCCCAAATTACCCCTGACAGTTGAGGAACATACATGCAGTCACGTCGGTCACGAGGCGATCATTTTATAATATAAATTTTCAAATTATAAAAATTAAAAGACAAATAATAATTTTACACGTCAATTTATAAAAAAAAAAATATTATTCAATAAAATAATGTAAACTCATTGGTTAAAAAAAGCGCGCTACTTTTTAAATCCCAATATATGCAAGAATTTTCACCAATGAAATATCACTATATTTATTGTGACGTAGATCGATTTTTCATGTGTTCTCTATTGTATAATCAGTGTACACAGGTAAATTTCCGATGATTCTTGGGTAAAATACCGATCGTGACTGGAAATAATAGCCGCATAATAGCATACTTCTATATATCTGAAGGGCAATAACATTACAGCAAAAAGAAGAATGAGTCAAGAGTTCAGTGTGTTGAAGTCAGTGTAAAAGTGCATTGTATGTATCAGCTGTTATTATGGTTTGTTGTGTATAAATCTACTCTGACATTTCACATTTAATCACTAGGCCAAGATACAACTTAAATCAAAGGTAAGTGAAATAAACAATTTTTTCTTTATTTATCTTTATCTGTTAAATAATAAATTGTGACGCAATTTTCATCTACGCAGTTATAATATAACCCTAAACCTTGTGGTGACGTCACAAAATGTTTTTGCATTCAATATTGTTGATTTTTTTATAAAATAAACTAAATTATATAGAAAAATTTTTGTTCTAAAGTGAAGAAAATTAAATGAATATTTGAATAGTATTTTTTTATGTAATTGACATTGCGTTAGTGATGATATAATTATAATAATATAAGGAGTGATTGCATGGACGCTAACTCGTTTGACATTCCTAGCGAGGTCATCTGGGCAATGCACTCTGTTAATCATTACATACTCTATTGCTTATATTATAAAAAAAAAAAATTAAAATTGAGTTTTTAAAATGACGTTTTTTCAATTGCTTTTTTTTTGTTTTTGTTTTTGACACGTGTGTAATATTTGTAAATAATCGTAAGACATGATTATTATAAACATTCACAATTTTTGTGTAATTGCATTTGCACCCAGAAAAGAAAAAAGGAAATTATTAACTGCGTACTTGACATCTGCGCAGTTCTCGCACGTCTCTTTCTCTGTCTCTCTCTCTCTCACTCTCTCGTCCAGGAAAAATCAAAACACTCAAGATGGCAGATCCAAGTAACGAGGTTGCCTCATCGAGTGGAATTTCAGAACAAGTTGTTCCAGCTCCGCAAATTCGCGAAGATGTTGAAAAAAGCGAAGATTTTCTTGAGCCCGATGCAAAACGACGTAAAGTCCTTCGGGCTGAAGGAAAAATGGAACAAAAATTGGAACATAGACTGGGTGGCATTTTGTGCTGTGCTGTCTGCCTCGATCTACCCAGGGCAGCTGTTTATCAGGTATGTGTGAAACTTAATTAGATTTCTTTTTCGAATAATTTTAATATACTAACTCGATAAGTGAAATCGCGAGAAGACAATTTTTTTAATTCGTTTTTTTTTTTTTTTTTTTCGTTATTGACCTGAAAATTTCTTTGACATAAAGTATCGACTACAGGACATATCGAGAATGGAACGCCGCCATTCTTTTTTTTTCCAAATATCTTAATCATTTCTATTTGAATAATTTTTTTTTTATTCACCGTCAACATTTTATTGTTCTTTTATTTTCATTTACAATAATCATGTTTAACATGTGCTTTTTTTTCAATATTTACCTTTTTAAATCACTTTCACGATGAACATCAAAAAACAGCTGATCTTTGTTGACATGGGAAGTTACGTGCTGAGAGAGAATCTACTTTGTTCCATTGTTAGGAAATATGTTGCGTAATATGATTTTTGAACCATTTTTTTTCTTTTTTTTTTTCTCTAGAATTTCTTACGAATTAATGACATGAATACATATTAACATTTTCATTTTATTAAAATAATTTTAATTATTTTTAAATTAAATTTATTAATGGTAAAAAAAAAAGTTCATTTTTCTATATATTAAAGTTTATTTTCATTTGTTTTTTTATATCTAAAATAGAAGGAGAAAATGATTTTATAGTCGTAATTTTTAACCTGTTACACAATCTATTAATTTTTTATGAAAAAAAAAAAATTAAGAGAAGTTTTTGCGTTTTACTTTTTTAAAAAGGACATATTTTCATAATTTCTCCCAAATTTTTATTATTAATTAGCAGTTAAATGCTTCACAGTAGGTTAAACCTTTTTTTCTCTCTCACTCAGTTATATTTTTGTAACTTCAAAAATACTCCATTTCCCATTTCCTGCTAATATTCTCCTATTTGTAAGTTTTAAAATACATTTAAAAAAGAAAGACAAATCTTCAATAGTGTTTAAACATATTTTTTTTTTATATAAAAATTTGTTTTTTTTCAATTTATAATTTTCAAAAAGTTCGTGTTTAAAATATCAATAAAAAAAAAAAATGAAAATTGTGAAATAACATTTTTATTCTCTAAGAAGATAAAAATCAAATTTAAAGTAAACTTATTAAGAGAAAGGTAAGATAAATTACGATTTTTTAAAATTAATTATGATATTTGTTAAAAAGTATTAAAGGTAGGTACTGCATGTGTTTTTTTTTTAATGGACGGTACACTTTTTTTCTTAAAAATAATTAATTGAAAAAATTTCATTTTTCAAAATTTTTATAAAAGCAACATTTTTGATAAATTTTAAATTATTTTGCGTCCTAGAACTTATTCTTACATGTTCAGTTTTATAAATTTATAACTATTTTTTGAAAAAAATAACTATTTTAAAAATAATTGTTTTAAACAATAGTTTTAAATATAAATTTTGAGAATAATATTTTTACGAATAATATAATTATTTTTCACGTGGTTTAGGAATTATTATTATTATTATTAGAAAAAAAATAGATTTTCCCTTTATTGAGAAATTAAAAATTTCATTACTCGAAATAATTTTATATAGATATTTTTATAAATATTTTTCTACGAAGATATATAAAAAAAATTTTGCAATATCAGGATAGGTTTTTTTTTTATAATTTGTATTGAAATGTCTAGGTTAAAAAAAAATAAAGTTCCACTGTATACATATTTTTAGAATATATTAATCTTTGAAAAGTTTAAAAAAAAAAAATTATTTATTTTTATAATTTTTCATTTAGAGTAGTTGCGAGTTGGCGTTAGCTAATAATAATAGATGTAAAAAAAAAGAGACTTAAAGTGCGAAATTTTAGAATTAAATTTGCCTTATTAACAAAATTAAAAAAATTGTGAGAAATTTTAATAAAAATGTTTTTAATTATTTATTATCACACGACTCGATTAGCTATTAAATAACTTAAATTTACGTGACGAGGAGAAAAAAAAAGAAACTAATTATACTAATGTATAGTTTCTTTGGAAGGAATGTTCAGAATCTACGAGAAAAAAATTAATAATGTCAAGATTTATGTTTATCAACGAGAGAGTGAGAGTGAGAGAGAAATCAAAACTCTAAGCCATTTTTGTATTATATGTATACAGCTTGAAGTATTTTGAAAATAATAAACGAAAAAATTAAAGGTCATTAGTCAGTTATTTTGAATTTACCCTTAGTATATATTATCCCGATATTATCCTTATTATATAGTTTGTAGTATCTCCTTTTTCCATTTCCATTTTTTTAATTTTCACTAATTCAAAATGTTTTTGATATTTCAACAATAAATTATAAATAAATTTTGTTGTCATTAAATTTTGATAGACGCATTACTTCTCGCTAAATATATTAATGACGCCCATACGATTTTGTGTTTCAGGTTTTAAAACATCAAATTAATGGTAACGAGTATAATATAGTTTAGTTATAATATTTCATGTAGATTACATATATTTGTTGAAGGGGATGTTTTTTTTGAAAAAAAAAAAAAAAAAAAAAAAAATGAACTTCACAATAATTGTTATTGAAAAATACACGCGAACAAATGGTTTTAATTGTTTGCATGTATTGTTTTCAATTAAATATTATTAAAAAAAAAATGATGTTCTTTGCAATGCTATTTGAGCAAATTTGCAGATAATAATATACAAAATATATAATAAATTGGTGTTCACAGTGCACCAATGGCCACTTGATGTGCGCTGGATGCTTCACTCATGTCCTGGCTGATGCCAGGCTTCGTGACGAATTAGCAACATGTCCGAATTGTCGAATCGAGATCAGCAAGACATCGGCATCAAGAAATTTAGCCGTTGAAAAAGCTGTTTCTGAATTACCAGCTGAATGTCAATATTGCGCTAAAGAATTTTCACGAAATTCTTTGGAACGACATGAAGATTCACTTTGTGAAGAAAGGTATAATATTCTCTTTAAATTTTAATTAGATTAGATTCTTTCTATTTTGTCCAGGAAACCATGAATACAACAAATAAGAAAATATACACGCGGGGCGAAATTCCTGAAGTAATCCAATTGCCAAAATGTGAGCATTGCATTTTTTGAAAAATCATAATTATTGTATAACAGGGTGAAAAAAATTTTGACCTGTACATGATTTCGAAAGGTTTTTTCTTGCTCTTTCAATGGTGCAAAAACAATTTTTTTTTTAAATTCGAAATTTACCCCTTTTTATTGAAAATTAAAAATATTTTTGCCTTTTTTTTCTTTTTTTTTACCCTCCAAATGAAGCTTAAGATATATACTTTTAATACCAAAAAATCTAAAGTGTCGTTTTTTTTTGTTTTCGAAATATTAATTCATTAATTAATTTTGTACCATACGAAAGAGCAGGAAAAAACCTTTCGAAATTATATAGATCAAAATTTTTTTCACCCTGTTATACAATAATTATGATTTGTCAAAAAAATCCACTGTGCTTATTTTACCAAAATTTTAATACTCTTCCCCCTCTACAGTTTTTAATAAAAATTAATAATAATTTATGGGTGAAGTACTTACCTATAGTACTAAATGTTATGCAAATTACAGCTCGAACTAAGAAAAATATTTATTGAGAAAAACTAAGAAACAAAGTTTACTTTATTAGAAATAAAAACTATTGTCATAGTTTCTACGCAGAAAGTGGACTTTGAAAAAAATTATTTTGGGCCTTGAATTTTTTTTTTAAAAATTGCTGGGCACTCTGTAAAAATACTAAAACTTTTCACATTAGTTATTGAACAAGAAAGAGAGTTTTGAATTCGTTCCCTTTTTTTACTTTTTAATTTATTTAAAATTTATAATAAATTAGTATAAATTTTCACTAATTTTTAGTAAAATATTACTATTCGATTTAGTAATATTTTTTTTACTAAATTTTTATTAAAAAAATGACTTAAAAATGAATAGAAATTTTCACAGTAATTTAAAAATTAGAAAACGCATTCTCACTAATTCAAATTTAGAGAATTAAATCTGTATAAATTGAAACAAAAAATAATTCTATTGATAAAAATTTCAAAATATTGAATTTTGATTCATTGAGAGAAATTTAAAAATTTGTTGTAAATAAATCTCAATTTATTCCATTAAAACAGGTTAAATTGAAGTGAAAATTTTTCACCCATTAGTACTTTGTTTTCACAGTGTAAACAAGTATTACAAAAGAATTTGATATCAAACAAAATTGTGAATATAGTCGTCATTTGTAAGTTGAAAATTCGAACTAAATAAAATAATTATTTTAAAGCTATAAAGTATAATATTATTTTATTTATCATTCAATCATCGAACAAAAAAAGGATTTGACAATAAAAAAACTTCTTTTTTTTCCTCCTATTATTAGTGATTTAAATTTGTAATGTATAAAAATTGATGACTTGATTTTTATTGATAGAATAACAAGCTGCAAGTACAGCAGAATTGGCTGTCCTTGGAGAGGACCCAATCATGAATCACCAGAACATGAAGCACATTGTGTACATCCTCATCGTACAGGTGCCGATGTCATGGAAGCATTAACTGACATTGACACAAAAACATTGGAAGCTCGCAGATTATATGACAATGTCTTTGAACTTTTGTCATATGAGAAAATTACATTTAATGGTAATGTATCAAGAAAAGTACAAAATTACACAGTGTTACAGTGAAAAATTACTTTGAATCAGACCTTCCCTAACTTATTCGTTCTGAAAAACTGAAAAGAATGGTGTATATTAAATCTCTAACACTCCCAAAATTTAATTTTAGAGCAAAAAACCGTTTTTTTGTAGTAATCTAATCTAAAAATCATTAGTCATAATTTACATTTTATCGAATTTTATTTGTCCTAATTAGTTTTGAGCCGAATTTTTATTTGTTCGAAATGGAATTTATATCAAATAATAATTCGAAGAAATAAAAATTCTGTGGAGTGAATTTTCGGTTATATAAAAATTCTGTAATATAGAAAATCGGATTGATGAAAATTATACAAAATGCTATTTCGAACAAATAAAAATTCGGCTCAAAACTAATTAGGACAAGTAAAATTCGATAAAATGTAAATTATGACTAATGATTTTTAGAACATAATCATGCGTCCCAAAAAGACGATAAAATTTTTTTTGGGTATTTTTTAAAATCCTTTGGTCAGTTTTGAGATATTAATATGATAATTAAGCCTACCAAATTTTATCTAAATCCATTAAAACCTGTTAAAGGTTATCTTCTAAACAAAAAAGAGATCCACACACACATACATACATCCGGACAATTGATCAGGATCTTATATAACATGTTTCTATATAGAGAAAAATTTGTTTCCGCCACTTTGAAAATTTTTATAAACGAAAGGACTACAAAGCTTCCTCTACGAGGAAGCAAAAAGATGAAAAATTGTAAATTTTTAAGTAATTTTTCAACTTAAACACTAATTTACGGTCACAATTTCATTTAGAATCATTTTTTTCTGTTTATGCTTTTAAAGAGTATTTAATTCTGCGTCGGATAAGATTTTGTTGAACAGGATTCGTTAAAAATTAGCTGAGTTATTACAGTTTTTATTTTCATAGTCACACTATTAGGTTTAATCTAGAATTAAATTCTCTTATTTTCTGCTTTTAATTATTACAGGTGTAATTTTTATTTATTTTCAGTGACTTTTTTTGTATTTTAGCTATGAAGTGAATTATTTCTTAGTTTTTTTTTTATTTTGTTTGTGATATAATTATCTAGCGAAATATGTACGGATTTTTTAAAATATTAAAATTTAAATTTTCTAGACAACTTTAAGGCCAGGTCCAAGTCGAGTCAGCTGTTCCTTTGAAGTTTCAATGGAACAGCTGACACGACTTGGACCTGGCCTTAAGTAACGAAATTTAGGCAAAAATAAGCACTTTTTCCTTTAAATCGATGCCATTTTGCGAAATGCATTTTTTTAAACCGGATACGTATTTTACTAGATTTTGAGCTGCAGAAACTAATGCTTTTTTTATTTTGATCTAACTCAAATCTGGACCAAGTTATAGTGCACACCGCACGGCGATACATTTTTGAAGCACTCCGCCATATCATCTGTCAGACTGACATTTTTGAAAAAAAATAAATTTTTTTTTTCAGTTTCAGAGTGGTATAAATACTCTACTATATTTTAATATTCTTAAAAAAATTTCTATTCTTCAATAAAAATGGTTAAAAAAGCGTATTTTTTGTTCGGGTCAAAGTGGTGTAACCCCTTAACTTCATATGTTTATTATTTAAATTTATTTTATTTTTAAAAACTTGTTAAAATTTAATTCTTTTTAGAAAACCGAATATATTGAATTGTTAAAAGTAATTTCTTTTAACTTTGGTCTTTATTTTTTATTAGTAAGATTAATTTTAAAATTTTTTCTAAAAGTCTAAAATTAAGGAATTTAAATTTAAATATAAACCTAAATGAAAACTAATATTTTACGTGAAATGATTTTTGTATATTTTTTTTAATGAAAACTTTTACTGAACTTTTAAAACGAAGCTGAAGTACGCAACGTTTATATAAACGATTTTTAAAGAATTTTTATAATTTGTTGATTAATAAAAACTACAAGAAATATTTTTTAGACAAAAAAAATTATAGAATTTTTCATTTTAAAAAATTTTTTCTTTAAAAATCGTTTATATAAACGTTGCGTACTTCAGCTGCTTCGTCTTTTAAAAGAAAAGTTCACATAACGGAAAAGTCTTTGAAAATAAATAAAAATTACACCTATAATAATTAAAAGCAGAAATTAAGAGAATTTAATTCTAGATTAAACCTAATAGTGTGACTATGAAAATAAAAACTGTAATAACTCAGCTAATTTTTAACGAATCGTGTTCAAGTAAATCTTATTCGACGCAGAATTAAATACTCTTTAAAAGCATAAACAGAAAAAAATTATTCTAAATGAAATTATGACCGTAAATTAGTGTTTAAGTTGAAAAATTACTTAAAAATTTACAATTTTTGATCTTTTTTTAAATTTTTCGTCCTTATTTTTAATAATAACAAAAAACACTTGTTAAGGTTGAAAAACTCTTTTCTTTAGCTATTTTATACAAAAACTACAAAAAAACGGTTTTTTTGTTCTAAAATTAAATTTTGGGGGTGTTTGAGAGATTTAATATACATCATTGTTTTCAGTTTTTCAAGACGAACAAGTTAGGGTAGGTCCGATTCAAAGTAATTTTAATTTTTCATTTTTTGTAACACTGTTACTTTCAATTTAATTAGATAGTAGAATTTTGTAATAATTGTATTTTTCTTTTTTTCTTAAAGACTTGCAAATGAAACCATATCGTACAGATGAGTTTGTTCACAAAATTTTCTATGAAACTTCACGATTTACCGCTTTTAATCATCAATGGGTTGTAAAGGCGAGAATCAACAATAATCAACGTGATCCCACCCAAAGTTCCGAGCGTGACATGACTTACCAGGTAATGATTTTTGTTTGATTAGAAATTATTTATTTATTCAATCATCATGTACGTGCTTACAAATATAAAAATTTCTTGTACATAAGAACTTAGTTCACTGCAAAAAAAAATTTTATTTTGATTAAAATAATCGGTTATTTTTATTATTAAATAAATATTTTCTTGATAATAGTCAAATAACCGATTATTTGAATAAAAAAAATTATTTTTTTAATGTATTTAATAGTAGTATAGAAAAAAAAAATTTGGATGTTCACTTGAAAATTTTAATATTTGAATGCAGGAAAAACTTTATATAAATATATAAAAAAAAATTTTTGAAAATGATTTGATATTTCGAAAAAATGCAATTTTGCAAAGAGTTTTGGTTAAAAAGATTTATAAATAATCTAATTAGTTGGATACAATATAAATAATTCAATTTTGAAATAGTTGCAAGTTTGCAGTTTTGACATTAGTTTAAATGATTTTAAATTAAAAATTTCAAAAGTAATTCAATTTTCGAAGAATTTATTTAGAATTATTTTATTTTAAACTTACAATTTTGAAAATAATATAATTTTCGAATATATTTAATTACAAGAATGTTAAATAATTCAGGGTGTCCTTGAGATCCTTGAAAAGTCCTTGAATTTTTTTCGGACCTTAAAAATCCTTAAGTTCTTTGAATTTTATAACAAAACTTTGACTATTATTAAAATTTAGGTCCTAAAAAAACAAATATATAGTAATCAACAATAGAAAACATTAATATTTTACCAATTTTGAATTTATAATCTAAAATTTTTTTGAAATTATACTTTTTTTAATACAATTTTTCATTGCAATCACATGTTTGTGCTTTATGATTGATTTATCCTCCTAAATAAAACAAATTTTTTCATAATTTCTACCCTGAAAGTAGACCTTTAAAAAAATGATTTTAGACATTTAAAAATCTTGAAATGTCCTGAAATTTTTTTCAAGAAATCACTGGACACCCTGTAATTGAAGTTTTATAAAATTTAATTGCAGATTTTTTAAATAATTAAACTTTTTAAAGAATTTCGTTAAAATTTTTGAAAATATATAGGTACTTAAAACTTTAAAAAGGAATTGAATTTTTTTTTTCAAAAGTTGCTGACCCTTATTTTTATTCTTTTTCTTAATAGATTTAATTATAGTTGAAATTTTAAATATTTTTTCCTTTCAATAATTCAATTTTAAATTTATTAGATATATTTAATAATTTTGAGCTTATAAATAAAAATTTCTCAGATGTAAAGCATTAGCGAAGTATAAACCAAACTTTTAAAAGCACAATAATAGCATAATTGCAGGCTTCACAGTGTTTCCCCTATTACCCTATTTTTTCTCTATTTTAAAAAACTCTCCTTTTTTACCCTTTTTTTCCACTATTTTATGTTGAAATTCGAATAATGGGATATTTAATAAAAATCCAAATTTGAACCAAAAAAATTACAAGCCTCGGATTAAACGACTTTTTTGACTTTTTTCAATGAATACAACTATTTCGATTTATTTTTATAAAATGTGACTTTTTTGTTGTAATGAAAATCGACTAAAACGACTTCATTCATTTTTTAAATTTTTAAAAAATTTAATTTAAACCAATTTAATTTAAATAAATTAAAGATTTCAGTTTCTTTAAAAAATTGAATAAAATCAAGTTTTGTATATTTTACAAGGCAGTTTTCGATTTTATAAAATAAAAAAATTACTTGCATTTTACAAGAAAAAAATTAGTTTAGAAGTAATTATCATTTTGTGGAAAATTAATGTTAAAATAAATTTTAAAAATAATAAGCGTTTATTTATTAGATGTATGCAATTCAAATTTTTATAAAACATTGAAAATGACATTAAAAAAAAAATTAACTACTATACTGGGAAAATCTCTCATATTTAAATCTCACTTTTCTTTATAAATTTATCATTTTTAAAAAAATTTGGAAAAAAAATGTTGGTTTCTATACTTTCTATGTTTTAAGATATTTTATGAGCCAAAAGTTTTCAAACGTTCAAATGAACAAAATGTTTTTTGTAACTTCTTTAAATACGAATTTTATTACAAAATATTGTTTTAAATATCTAAAAAGAAGTTATTAATTTAATATTAGTTTAATTTACTGTTTTATTTAACATTGACATTATAATTTTTAATAATTTATAGATTGGAAAAAAAAATTTTGTTCATTTGAACGTTCAAAATGTTTGGCTCATGATATTTTTTATTTATCAAGAAAATGGGTGGTCTCAAAATTTCCACCGGTAATGTAATTTAAAATAACTTTAAAGCATTTTGGTTAAGAAAAATATACATTTAGATTTTACCCTTTTTTCGAACAAAATTTCCCCTATTCCCCCTTTTTTTTAGCAAATTTTATGCTGTGAATCCTGTTATTGACATTATTTGAAAGCATAATTGAAGCATAACTGAAACTTTTTTGTGAGCATAAAACATCTTTCTGAAAAGCATAAAGTTCCTGTTTGTGTTTATTAAAAATTGTATTAGCAATACAATCTTGTTTTCATGATGTTCTGTATTGTTTAAGGATGTGAATGTGAATTTAGCGAAACTGAAAATAATAAGAAATCCTGATTGAAATATTCAACTGTTTTTAACGAATATACAAATATAAATTAATAATTATTGTATATTAATTTGTTAATTAGTAATAATAATTATATAAAATATCATAATTTAATTATATTTGCAGCTTATTTTAAAATCGAAAACAACTTGCCCAATGCCAATTCATTATCTGATATTGAAAGGGCCTTTTGGCGATATGAAAGTCAATCCGAGAATTCATAAACATGACTTTTCGGACTCTGATAATGAGAGTCCTTATTTGCCTCTACCATTACCAGATACAGCTGAATGTAATAGATTACTTGCTGCAAAAACAATAAGTTTTCGGTAATTATAAAAACAATCAAATAAAAGAATTTTATAACATTTCACTAATTCCATATATATTTAATAAATTCTTTTATTTTCAGATTAATACTATTTTGTGCATCTAAATAAATGTGTTGCGAGTGACATTAAACTTTCGACAAGATCAATGAATCTTGAGTGATTTATGAGGAAGTTTTTAATTACAAATTAGATTAATTTTAATAGAGACATTATTTCTAGGATATAAGAAGAAAAAAAAAAAAAAAAAAAAAAAAAATTGCTTGTAATGTTATCGAATATTACGTAATCCATTTAGATGCGCTCTCGAAATAACGGGTAACGTTTAATTTCAAACAATAGTTGTTAGATAATTAAACTTTCAAGCACTTTCAACGAATCTCTATAGGCTACGTTTGTCCTGATTTTAGATTCGTTAATTATTTACTATAATTAGTGACAATTATTACTTATTGTAGGTTTTTAACACTATTTAGCAATATAGAGAAACATTATGCAAATGTTTATAAATTAGTGATATCTAAACAAGTAGATAAATCGGCTCTAATGAACATGCAAATATTAATATTATTAGTAGTAATAATAATAAGTATTAAAATCAATTTTGCCGTACAATTATGTAATAAGCGTTTAAGAAAAATCCAAAAAAAAAAATTTGGATTAAAAATTTTTTCTGAATTTTAGAATCAGATTTTTAGATTTGAATTTTTAGAATTTAAGATAATATGATAATTGACTAAATAATTATTGGATAGACTTTTACTGCAAATATAGAATTTAGTATTGCAGATTATATCAATCTTAGTTACAAATTGGGACTTTTTATTTTATTTCTTTGTTTTCCATTTTTTTTTTTTCAATATATTATTGAAATATAGTTTTTTTTATTTTTATTTTAAAAATTCAAGCAAGTTGATTTATGAATTTATTTTGAGAACTACGTATTTGTTACTTCTTGTAAATAATTATATTATAAGAGTAGTTTTCTACTTTGCGTGCGCACAGTATCTACTTTATAAAAAAAAAAAAGTATTCTCTTTATTACATTAGATGTTATTGATAAGAAATCTAAATAATGTAATCTCATCCATTTCAATAAATTTATTATTTCACACGATAATTTTCAGTCTAGATAAATAACCCCCCTTTTTTATTTTTTTTTTATAGAAAACAAAATTTCTGATATAGGGTAACTGCATCAATATTGTCGATGTTTTAAATCATCAACTTTGGTATTTTTTTTTCTCTGGAATAAATGTACTTCAAATTTTGAATTATAGAAAAATGTAATAATATTTAATATTTAAATTTATTTTCATCAAAAAAAAATTGTTTTATAAAATTTTTATTTAAATGTCAATCGAGTAAAATCACCATTTATCGAGATTTGTGTACCAATTTCTCGAGATTATGGCCTCAAACAAAAAATTGGTTTTTATCGCAGAAAAAAAGTTTTTAAAAAATTAATTTCAATAAATTTTGAAAGATTTAGATAAGAAAAAAAATCATGTTGAGTCAAAATCTTGCGTTAAATAATTATTTTTTGTTAAAAAATAAATTTTGATTCTATTACTTTTTTGTATTTTACGAAATTTAAAAAAATTTGGTATATTTATATTTTCGCTAATTTTGTTTTAGTATATATTTATTTATTTATGTTAAAAAGTTTATAATTTAATAATGAATTTTCTATAATTTATTTCTGTTAACAGTCACTTGCGGATCGCTGTATAGAATAAAAATATAGTCTTATAAATACGCTGCTCGGAATTAGTAAGGTAAGAATTTTTCAATAAAATTTTGTTTGCATTTTTTTTTTCAATTTTCATCGTAGGTATATCTATTATATTGGAAAATTAATTAATTTAATATAAAGTTTTCAAACGCAATATAGAGTATCGTCACACTGAAAAAAAATGTATTTAAAATTTATTTATTTATTAAAAAAATCCAAATAATCGGTTACTTGACTATTATCAAATACAAAAAATTTACTTGAACCCAATAATTTTTTTTTTGAATTAAACAAACAGTACTTAAATCAATAATTTCTAGATTTGAAATATTAAATATCATTTAATTAACTCAAATAATTATTTAATACAAATAAAATTATTTATTTAATAAATAGTCAAGTAATCGATTATTTGAATCAAATAAATTTTTTTTCAGTGCACTCTTCGGTCTTTAATTATTTAAAATTTTCGTTCTTATTTTAATTATAAGATATACAAATTTCACGTTATATATAATATTATAAATTTAAAAATTTTCACAAACAATATTTAAAAGTATATATAAAATTTCATTAAATAACTATCGTTACTTTCAATAACAAATTATATAAGAGGGAAAACTTTCTTTAGATAAAACTAAAAATTGTGAGCTTTCTAAAATTGTAATACGGAATATAAATATAATAAACAAAAGTTTGTTAGATGCATATGTACGATATTTTCAATGAACGATTATATAATGAAAATTGAGAACCATACGTTATAATATTTCATGCATAAAAGCAATACTATCTGGCTATTGAATTGCTTATGTTGCACTATTAGAGTTATTTCATGTGGAACATGTTAAATCATATCAACTTGTGATTTATAAATGTCTGTAAATTAAATTTTCTCTGGTGTTTTACATTCGAGTTATAGGTATATTTGTGTGTACATACAAATCCATCATTTTTTTTTTTTTTTTTTTTGAGATACATGAATAATGCCCAAAATTAATTTGTTCAAATTTTTATTCAATAGAATTTCATTAGATAGAATTTTATTTTAGACAAATTTTTATTTAACAGAACTTTCATTTGTTCGATTAAACATTTGGTATAAAAATTTCGATGTGATTTTTGAAATTAACCAATAAAAATTTTCTGAATATAATTTCTGATTGGTTAATTTTAAAATTAATATCAAAAATTTTTTTGACTGAAGTTAATTCGAATACATGGAAATTCAATCAAATAGAAATTATGTTAAATAAATTTTCGGTTAAGTAAAAAATTAAAAATTTTGTAATATGAAAAATTGGCTCTTATATTATGTTAAATGAAAATTTGAACAAATAAAAATTTTGCTAAGTGTATTTTTGGTGTTATATAAAAATTGATTTATTGGAAATTCTATTAAAAAAAAAAAATTTAACTTTAAATTCGTCTAAAAAAACATTGGAATAAATAAAAATTCTGATAAATGAAAATTTGAAGAAATAGAAATTCTGTGAAATGAATTTTCGGTTGTATTTAAAATTTTTGTAATATAAAGAATCGGTTTAATGAAATTTCTGTCAAAAACAGTAATTCAAACAAATATAAAGTCGAGTAAAAGAAAATTTTATCTAATGTAATTCTATCAAATAAAAATTCAAAAAAATCAATTTTAGGCATTATTCATGCGTCTCTTTTTTTTACCTGTTTTAACAATAAATACTGTGATCGTATGGAATCATCTATGAATATTTTTAGATTGTAATCTAAGCACAAGTATTCTGTTTATTATTGGCATAATCATATTAAGTAATAATTAATGATATATTAACAAATGAGATCATAAATCATTTAATGTTTTCATTAAAAAAATATCGTTTTTAATTCTTATTAAAATTTTTCCAATGTATTAAATTTAAAAAAAAATAATCATAGTAACTCTATGTTAATTTTTTTTTATACAGCATAAAAAAAATTGTAATTCAATGGTGCATGAGTTGTATAAATTCTCTGTATTATTTGAAGATAGATGAGATTTCCAGTATTCAATTTTAAGAGGTAAAGAAGTTCTCTTTTTGACCGCAGTAGAATTGATCTTAACTGTAAGTTTTTTGTGATCTTCAATAATTTTGTCTCGTGAGTTCTAAAATCTTCCGTTAGCCAGTTCCTTTGATAATTTACCTTCAATTGAACACAAAGGGGAAAAAAAAATTTGTCTTAATGAATTTAATTCATTAAATTTTCATGGAATAATTTTTTTTTTTGTAATTATGGCAAATTTTTTCTTCATTTTTGTATCGAATAAATAATTTTCAATTTTCAATTTAATGTTACTTTCAGTATACAAAAACTCCTTATATATTCATTTGGAGAGTGATTTTATTCTTTTTTTTAATTAATTACTGATAACAAATCAAGTATGAAAAAATTTCACATCATTCTATAATTGAGCTGCCGGATCAAAGAAGGGCACATAACTAATGGGTTATGTGCCCTTCTTTGATCCGGCAGCTCAATTACAGGCCTCGGATTTTACGACTTCTTCGACTTTTTATTGACTTATTCTAAGAAAATACGATTTTTCTTAGTATAAAATGTTACTTATTTTGACTTTTCATGACTAATCAATATATTTTTAAATTCTAGTAGTATATTTTTCAGTGTTGGGTAGTAACTAAGATACTAAAAAAGTTACGTTACTTGTAACTTATAACGTAACTTAGTTACTATTTTAATAGTAACTTTTAATTTTAAGTTATTTCGTTACTTTCTTTTTTTATAAAAGTAACTGTAACTGCAACTAGTTACTAAAAAAAGTAACTTACCCAACACTGATATTTTTATTTAAAAATAAAAAAAATCGTTTCCAATAAAGTATCTTAATTTTTTTGTTAAATCATTTGGAATAAACAGGCTTTTGTGCTAAACATTTGAAATTACCATTCATTAGAACAAAAAAAAAATTAAATATTGAAAATTTAGTTTTTAGTTATAAAACTCCGTTTTGAAATTTTTATGAATTAAAATATTGAGAATTTATCTAACTCGCAGAACTTTATCTTAAGGCCAGGTCCAAGTGGGGCAGCGCCATCTACATTGATACTAAAATTTTGGGAAATTTTCAACAGCCTTTTCTTGAAAACAAGATGGTAAAATGCTTTTTCCTTTATGGATAATTGATTATTGGCAAGATATACACCAGCTAAAACTTTTTTTGAGTTAAAATAATAAAAAAAATTTCATGTCAATAAATTAAATATAAGCACTTTTTTCACAAAAACTGTAACAGTAATTTCTCAGAAATTACAATCAAAAATGCAATTTCCATTTGGAAAATTAAAAAACGCTAAAAAATACACGACCTAAGATATACCAATCACGAAAATAACAAAAAAAAAGTATTTTAACATAACACATTTTACTCATTATGACAGCCGTTTGGCGGGTTATATATGTCACCAGACGTTTCGCAGTTTTGCCGAAAGGAGGAGATTGGCGCTGTTGCTAACCACCTGAAATACATAATCTACCAAAGGGCTGTCACAATCAGTAAAGCAGTATCAATATGTTAAATATTTAATAAAATTTTTTTTGTTATTTTCGTGATTGGTAAATCTTAGGTCGTGTATTTTTTAGCGTTTATTAATTTTCCAAATGGAAATTGCATTTTTGATTGCAATTTCTGAGAAAGTAGTGTTACAGTTTTTGTGAAAAAAGTGCTCATATTTAATTTATTGACATGAAATTTTTTTTATTATTTTAACTCAAAAAAAGTTTTAGCTGGTGTATATCTTGCCAATAATCAATTATCCATAAAGGAAAAAGCATTTTACCATCTTGTTTTCAAGAAAAGGCTGTTGAAAATTTCCCAAAATTTTAGTATCAATGTAGATGGCGCTGCCTCACTTGGACCTGGCCTTAATGAACTCAACAATTTTCCAAATATTGACCTTAGACAACAGTTTTAAAAAGTGGCTGAAAATTTTTTTTGACCATATTCAAACTGAAAATTTTGCCGAAATTCTTGTTTTGAATAATTTTCATAAATCAGACACAAAAAAATTTTATAACAATAATATTAATTTTTAAATATTTATTAACTAACTAAATTTATTAAAAATAAAAAATCAACTTTTTTGATTTTTCTTTTGAAGTAAATCGATTAAAACAATCTATTTTTACACCTTAAAGTTGATCCGAGGTCTGTAAGAATTACACTTTTAATTTTAATCTAAATTCAAGTAACTGAAGAATGAGTTGAGTAATAATAATAATTGAATTTTTAATACAATAGAGTAAATAAGCGAACTTTATATTAAGGCCATGTGGGCAATGGACGTTTTTTTGTGAATTCCAACTTTCTCTGAAATAAATAATGATTTCGGGTTAAAATTTTGGAGAAAAGA